GAGTTGTGCGAGGTATCGGCTGAGATTTGTGGAGTACAATTCAAAAAACAACTATAGGTCTAATAATGAATTATTGTGATGTTAAATAGACAATGTTAGCTATCAAAGAGCGACGTTGTTTTTCATTGGAACCTTCGTCCCTTCAAGGCTAGGCCTATAACATTCTAGCTAGTCCAGACCTAGAGTAGGATAAGGCTAGCGGGAAATGCGGACGTTGGTACGAGTAGGTTAGTCTACAAACGTCGCCTAAAGTAATTGATTTTACCCGGCAGAATGAAAGAAGGAAACTCCGCTTTTCAGTCGTCTTAGGCACTCGTTTTTTGACAAACAATGACCTTTCAGAGGTCAAATTGCTGTCAAGAATATGAATTGGCTGCTTCGCAGCAAATATTCAGAGATGGACAAAAAATTTACTTTCCACATAAGAATTTTAGGCCTACGACTTCTGGATTATTTTCCTCATCAATTATTACTTCGATACCACGAATCATGTTACTCCAAAATATGATAAGGCCAATTTAAATAAAATGACCATCATTCTTTATGGTCCAATCAACGGTGCTGTAGGCCTTTACCATCCGAATATCCGATTTATTAGTAGGCCTATATACATTGTATTGAATGTCTAATACATGTTTTTCATAATAGGCTGACAACGGCGGTTAAATCATGTATTGATTTCTATATTTATTCATGAGGGAAAAGTTCCCGTTAGCAAAAATGGTCCATAGTGAGCTGTCAGATGGTCCAGTGGGAGCTGTCAGCAGCTCCATAAACTAAAAAAAAAATTGGTTTATACTTGAGTATAAACAGTAAATCACATAGGGCTATTAGGCCTATCAGACCATGATGTTGACAGCTACTGTAGTGTAAAAAGTATACAATATAATAAAAATGTGATCAAAACAGTTCTAATTTCATCAATTTTTAAAATTATTTAACAATGTTTAAACTTGCTAAAATATTCGATTTCTAAGATATTAATTAATTTTTTTCAAATTTAATTTAGTGAAGTAATGTTTTTATCATCTCAATCCACAGGAATCTGTGCACTTGATTATTTAAACAAGGACTTATAAATATTACCAAGATAGGAAGCTGGCTGGTTTAAGCCATTTATCTTGAATTAGCCTTATGTGTGGTATTGTTATGCTAATGAGCCAGATAAGCACAATCTGCACATGCTCAGAAAAACAAAACTTTCCTTTGCACACTGCAGCCCCCACTGCGTATTGGCTAGGCGTACAGCTAGGCCTTCCAATGGTTATGGTACGGTAGAACAAAGAAAAGGCGTATTAAAATAAAAAATTGGCGTTTGTGAGCAATACATTTGAATTTTATTCAAGTAAGTAGTAAGTATATGAATAATTTTAATGCACTAGTTAGTTGATAACTTCATTCTAATTTGTTTTGGGTATTTTTTCTGCATTTTTATAAGCGGTTAGACATAGCCTAGGCTAGCCTATGTGATGTTCATTGTAATACTACAAAACAAAATCACATCAATTTAAATTTGTGAACATACTTGCCTTATATCTTAACTAGCAGATGATTTAATTGGTAGATTAGTCTGTTTTTAAGTGTGAAGTATGATTGATTTGCATGCCAAGTGAAATTAGTACCCTTATTTTGCTTTGTTTTACCGTACCGTAATCTGGCTCATTAGCATAACAATACCGCACATAAGGCTAATTCCAGTTAGACGGCTTAAACCAGCCAGCTTCCTATCCTGGTAACAGTTATAAGTCCTTGATTTAAAGGTACAGTTATAATCTAAAAACTAAGAGGAGTGGGGGTGGGGGCTCATTTGGACTTGGAACTAGCTTAAAGCTCCATAGTAAAATGCTGGGTCGTAGTAGGAGGGGCCCCTTCTAATATATCTGCCAAAGAGTGTGTTTGTGGGATTTTGGTCTATTTGGTTTTTGAAAATTATAGAAAAATTTACTGTATCCAAGAAGAGCTTGGGTCCCAGAAAGCACATGCGTTACACCAATATTAATGCTCGGTAGTATTAAAGTGCTAGGTAGTAGTAGGAGGGGCCCCTATTGAGGCCCCCACCTCCGCACTCACAGCGTTATGCCACTGAGGGGGTGTCCCAAAGGAGGGGGTTCTACTGTACTTAATTTTAAAATATTGGTGTCTTACCGGTACCAGTGGACACAGGTGTTGTATCATTCTGCAACATACTGCTGCATTGGCCTGGGCCTCTGTCATCTTATCACTAATCCTTTTAAGTGAAACATTATGTAGGTGGTTTGAATATGCAGACATCATTACATAGACTTCTGCCATTCTGTTAAAAAAAGAAATTATAATATATTTAAGAAAAATAAAAATCAACATTGACAAATTGATTAGCAAGCACAAAGCTGCAAATTGTAACCTAGTCCTAAGTGTGTGGGTTTAAATCCTGCAAAAGTCAATATTATTTTTCATGGTTCTATTTCAATAACTTTACTAAAGCCCTGGGATTTATATTTTGATTTAAAAAAAATTTAAATCATCACGAACAAAGCCTTGAAGCCACTTTTAAATAAGGGGTTACTTTATTAAATATCCCATTAAATGTTAATCTAACATAAAAAATAAAAATCTACGTTGACAAATTGATTAGCAAGCACAAAGCTGTAAATTGTAACCTAGTCCTAAGTGTATGGGTTTAAATCCTGCAAAAGTCAATATTATTTTTCATGGTTTTATTTCAATGACTTTACTATAAGCCCTGGGGTTTATATTTTGATTAAAAAAAATTTAAATCATCACGAAAAAAGCACTGAAACCACTTTTAAATAAAGGGTTACTTTATTAAATATCCCATTAAATGTTAACCTAACATGTTGGGCTAGGATGTTGCATGTGCCACTTCACGGCCTGTAAACAATGCAAACTGTGTTATCTAGGCATGGCTGGCTGTGGTGAGCATGTGGTTCCCCACCACAAGTTCAATAACCAGAATAGAAACTACAGCATGTGCATCCTTCCCAAAATGAGCTAAGCCTATCAGATTAATATTGGAAGGAAATTTGGTGAAGCAGATTCTTTTTTGATTCTTAATCTTGTGTAATTCAATGTGCTGACCATTTCTGGCTGACCATAGACCTACTCAGAAACCAAAATATGCATTGTTGACGTGATAGTAATAATAATAATATATATACCGGATCAATAAAATTGTTTTATCAAATATTTTACATAAACAAAAAGAAACATAACCTAATAAGTACTAAAGAAAAATAAAGAAAACAGCAAAAAACCAGAAGAATCATTTACACTTCTCCATTCTCCGGCACACAAAAGTCCCAAAAGTCAGAGGCTGTTGAGTGATTCAGGCTATAAACGACTTAAAAAAATAAAATGTTCTCCTCAAAGGCCTTGTTTGAGTAAAAGAAAAGTATAAAACACAGTAAGTATAGAATCAAATATTTTAACAATTTAACAACTTACGCTTCGTAAGTCTCAGTGAAGTACCAAAACAACACCATAAACAGCAATATTAATGGATATAATAAGAGTTGTATACCAGTCCTAAGATCAATTGGCCAAGATCCCTTATCATCTCCACGGCCACCAGGCGCACCATTGAATCTCCTACCACCACCACGTCTTGGGCCCCTGGCATTTCGGTTCTGGTTGCCTGCTCCTCTTGCACCATTCTTGAAAATAATTCAAATATCACAATATGAATGCCACTGCATCAAACCCTACCTACCGCTGCTTCTAAAGCTACTCTTACACTACCAAGACCCACACTGCGATCGGTACATGCTGGTCGTCAGTCTAATCGTAGTCGCTCTCACATGTGTCGTAATCATTTGGCTAAAGTGGCCATTATTACTTTCCACCAATAAATGACAAGAAGGCAGGTCCTACTTCCAGTCGGATACGACCACAATTTGGTACAGTCGCAGTGCTAGGTCACGATAATATGAGAGTTGCTTAAAGTAATGGTAAGAATATCTAGTACAAAGTTTGAAAGGCAAATGGGAAAAACCCATAAACAGCAAACGGCCATATAATGCAAAACAATATAAAATTAAAATTAAAACCGAACAGTAGAGAAAATCCGATCACAATGACAAAATAAACTAAGCATCCACTGGAAGTAATCCCAATATCTGCAGACGGATCCATTTCGGCCTTCCAGGCCTCATCAGTGCAGCTAGGGTACAGACCCAAACGAAACGTTCGACCAGCTTAGGCAGGGCCCAAACTAGTCCCACGACCACTAATGATTACATAGCCAAACCAAGGCAATATATATATACAGCCCAGGTGTGAATGCAAATAGTGGAATACAAGCTATGCGGCTCGGTTCCAGTAGATACAGAGAATATTTTGTCATTTTTAACGCGTCCTACAAAATTCTTACGAGACAGCACTAGTCCGTGAATTTGCGAACAAAATCGGAGATCTAAAGATGCAATCTCTACTGTGCATCAATGGCGGCGCTGGATCTCAATAGAGATTCTTAAATAATATTAAGTTTGAAAGGCGAATGGGAAAAACCCATAAAACACCAAACGGCCATATAATGC